AGATCCTGTATGGTATTTAGTAACCTACGTGTCATTATTTCAATGGGAATTAGGTCCTAAATACCTTTGAGGATTCAGGCGTAAGTCGGTAGGCATTCTAAAGTCGGAAAGAACTGCAGAATTGGGTATATTGGAAACTAATTTTCTCACATTCATGGGAAAATGCGTACTATATTGGTGCTCGCCAGTTTGCCAGATATTTACATCTTTCTAAAAATGTCCTCATATCTGCAACTTATACAAAACTTTTAGCCAGGCAGGAAGTAAATTTTATGTGCAATAAATGTCATACTAAATTACAATAGTGCAAAAAAACATTTAGACATTTATCAGGATCAGATATTTTGTTGTAGTGAAAAACAAGTCTGTCTTGCAAAATTCTGTGCTAACAGCTTACTGATGGTGAAGGTCTAGCTCAGGACTTGAATTGACCTGCTGAATTTGAAAGATTTGAAAATAGACATACACATGTATCACAACTTGTTCGTTGTTTTTATTATGCTCATCTATAGCAAATGATGAAGTTTCTAGGGGTATGTCTACACTACCACCCTAGTTCGAACTAGGGGGGTAATGTAGTCATACCGCACTTGCAAATGAAGCCCAGGATTTGAATTTCCCGGGCTTCATTTGCATAAGCCGGCCGGCGCCATTTTTAAATGCCGGCTTGTTCGAACCCCGTGCCGCGCTTCGTGGAACAAGGTGTACAGATAGTTCGGAATGGCTTGCTAGTAGAAATTAACACAATAGACCTAGAAGTGGGACTGTTTACATAGGGTAAGTGCAGCAGAACATTCATACAAGTAAATTACTTTGCCTGTAATTTTTACCATCCCCATCTCTGTTGTTGTAGGCCTGGGCTTTATCTCCCTCAGCCCGGGTTTGCCTCCTTCATCATCTTGTTTTGAGGCTATAGGATCCTATTATTATAGGGGGTTCTCATGTTTAAGGAACTGGAAACTGTTCAGTTCCCCTCACAGTTCCTTATATATCCTTCCATTGAGGTGGAACTGCTAACCAGCCCTTTGAAAGAGGAGATGTAGCCCCTGATGTAGTCACCGCTGACAGGGGGGACAAAGGGGACACTTGTCCCAGGGCCTGGTGATTCTAAAGGTCCTGGGGGCTCTGGCACCTGGAACCCCAGGACCTTTAAATCGCTACAGGAGTAGCATGGGGTGCTCTGGGATGCTCTGAGAGACTCTCATTGCCCTGGCTTCACCCATTCAGTCCAAGGCTCTGCCTCTTCATGGAGATGGGCCCCCCTCTCTTGCCCAGGGGCCCAGAACAGCTGTGAGCTCCCTATGTTATTTTCTAATATTTGAATATGCATGAAGTCATCAACATGATGGTCTTAGGTCCGTGCACTGATTCTTGGCTCCTCTCAGGCCAAACTAGCCCCATATCACCATAGTTTCTGAAAGCTCCAGTTCAGTGGGCTTCCCCACTAGCTCCAGAGTGCCCATCCTTCCCCCATCCAAAACAGAGGGGAGGTAGTAAGTTGGCACTCATACTGTTATCATTAACTTAGCTACTAATGTTACTCAGGTCTGGCAAGCATAATGCTGCCCTCAGGTGTGATGCTGCCCTCTGTATACCTTGAACATGTGAAGCCCATTCTCCAGTTAGCTCTTGCGTAGGGGCTTCAGCACACTGAAAGGGAAAGATGCTGATGTGAATACAGCACTCTGCTCCCTCCAGGCCAGGATCTGCTATATCCTCTGGAAGCAAAGGGTTTGATTTAGCCTCTAACCCTGCATTTCTGACATCAGTGTGTTTACACATGATGTCACAAATGCCAGTCAGTTCCACTGCCAGTACAAAATACAGTGTCAACGGGGAAAAAATTCTGAAGAAAAAGAAACGAAAAGTTAAATAGATTTAGTCTGATGCATCTGAAAGTTTTCTCCTTTTTAATGTTTGGAGAGGAGCTCTTCCAATCTGTTGAATACATAGAGCGGTATTTATTTTAAATGGTGTAAATACACATTTAAATGATAGACTGTACTCTTTCCAAATGAAGTTGTAGCCTGTTGAATACATACTACACTTTAAAAAAGTCTAAATATGAATTTACAAGATAAAGTGTAACGGCTTCAAAGGGGCCATTGATCTATGGAGTACATAATATGCATGTTAGAAGTCACTGAAATACTTATTTAGATGACATACTATTCACAAGGAACCATTACATTCCTTTAAATAAATGGTATGCACTGTAAAAATTGTCTAAGCTTTGCTTTGATCAGGCACTGGTGTATCATGTCAGCTGATAAACACATTCTTTTTGGGAAAAAAATAAAAGAAACCCAAGGCGAAAGGGAGGTTAATTCAGACAAATGTGTCAAAGGGTCTTTCTGACCCATCAAAGCAAGGAAATTCAGGGTATGTCTACAGTGCAATTATCCCCCCATGGTTGGTCCATGCCAGTTGACTTGGGGCCGTGGGGCTCAGACTAGGGACTGTGTAACTGTGGAGTAGATGTTTGGACTTGGGCTTGGAGCCTGAGCTTTCAGACCCTGCGAGGCGGGAGGGGCCAGAGTGTGGGCTGCAGCCTGAACCTGAACATCTACACCTCAATTAAACAGCCCTGTGAGCCCATGTGAGCTGGCCCGGTCAAGCCACAGGTTTTTAATTGCAGTGTAGACATAGTCACAGAAAGCAAGAATCTGGGCTCTGTTCCTGGCCTTCACTAGTTCTCCCACCATTATTAGGATTGGTCCTAGACCACCAGGGGAAGAACTGCTAGTAATTCTCAGTGTACACAAGCCCTATGGACTATATCTTCCCCTATCAAGCCAAAAAGTGCAGAGAAGACCCTAATACCAGCCACCTCCTGGCTTCGTAAAAAGTTGCCACATAATTGTTTTTCCTTATGCTGATGTATTTTTTCTTCTCTTTGTGTATGTTATGAGCAGACAGAAGAGCTACAAGACTCATGGAGTGTAAAGTATCCATGCAACAATTCCTTAACTTTGTCAATCATTGCCAGCTGAAAAGAGGGGGCCCCCTCGCGGTGCCATCTTGCACATTGTCCCCTAACCATAGCTACAGAGCTGGCATGCTAAATTTGCTGCTATTGGCTGCATGGCACGCTGTTGCACACTGTGCCACCTTTGATGGGGAAAATATTAATTTGCAACTCACGGGATATGATCCAAAGCCCATTAAGTGAAACAGGACTCCTAGCTTTGATTTGAATACTCTTTGGATCAGGCCCATAATTTTGGGGTATAGGAACATTCCACTTAGTGGAGTTCATTCACAGGATAATGCTCCTGTCCGTGTGTTCTGCTCACCGCATGGCTCTATTGAGGAAGGGATTCAGCTAATTATACATGGGAGTGGGAGGACAGCATCCTACATTGCAGCCTTCTCCCCCCAAACTGCTTTTTCTCTGGTTTGATCTATTCTGCGCCCTATGGATTGGGTGCAGTGATGTTGGAGCGTGGGGCTTTTGTCCTTAAATCACCCTCTTGAACCTCTGAACTGCAGGATCTAAGAACAGTACAATGGATTAGAAACTGTATGTAACTCTTATCTTTGTGGTTGCAAGAGATTTCAGTATATACTGCACAACATAAGAGCAACAGTAAGAATGCAGTATCCACAAGTGACAGTCTTTTAACTCTTCTTGCTTTTTATGCATGGAGGAGAAATCTATAAAATTAAAATGTCTTGTGACTTTATTACAATGTGGGTCTACTCAGTGTAAGATGAGAGCACAAATTAGGAACACATTTTATATACACAAATGAATTTGTGAATCTTTTTCAGTTAAATGGTCCAAACAGTATTGATTCAGCAGTGCAAATCTAGAGTAGCTCTGTTAATTTATCTGTATTTATACATCAGGCATAAATTTAGCTCATGTGGTTTTGGACAATACTATACAGTAGGATGAGTAATATTGCTTTGGCAATAATGTAGGTAAAGTTGTTTGGATTCCTTTAGAACAAACCATGAGATGGTAACTAAAATATATTTTACCACTATTTTTGATACCATAAAGATGTAGGTAAAATAGTAAAATTTAAATACACACAGATATTCATTCATTCATTCATTCAAGAAAAAATAGTTAACTAATATTTATGTTTGCATGATGATTTTCATTCTATGATCTCAAAGTACTCTTCATAATCTATAGCATTAGAACACACCTGTTAAGTAATTATGGAATGTATTATAATCCTTTCTCCTATGACTAAAATGCCTCAACTATTTAACAGCGACAGCACACAACAATTTCAGAAGTGCAAACAAATGAAATGGCAAAGAATAATTAATAAACAGAATGAATTTGGCTAGAATACTGCAGTAAACACTCCCATTCTTATGAAATTGGAAAGGGATCTCTGGCAATTGCCAAGTGATCAGAATTTTAATATTGTATCTAACCTAAAAACACACATAGCATGACATATCTATTAATCATTGACATTCAATAGACATTATACACGTTAAGGATAGAAAAGACCTACTCAGTCACCTCATCTGTCCTGTCTTACAATGTATTTGCCAGACCCTTGTCTGATGTAGTTTTAACTGATCTCAGGCAACAAAGAAGCAAAGTCTTGTGACTTCCCTTAAGAATCTATTCTGGAATCAATTAACTGATCCTGATAACCAGCCCAAAGTTAATTTCCTCCCATATCTGAAACTTTTGTCTTGCAGCAAGATGAATTAAATAATAATATTTAAGAGCTTTTGTCCATTCATCCCAATGTGCTTTACAAAGATAAGCACACATCATTAAAGACCTATTACAAGTGGAAAACTGAAATAGAGAGGTTAGCCAACAACTTGTTCCAGAGCAGGGAATAGAACACACTATTCTCAATTTCTAATCTGACAACAACTCCACTGATCAACTATAACTTTTGTCAAGAAAATGGCTCCCTTCAATAAATGATTTTGGAACTGTTTAACTTTGGGAAACATTTTTAAAAATCCTTTAATATTTATTGTCATTTGGAACAAGGGAAACTATGTATAGTTTGTATAAAAGTTAAGAAGCTAAATATGGTGACAAATAAACTTTATAAGGGAAAATAACAATAGTTGGGTATGTACTCATGTTAATAATCAATAAACAACCTGTTTTCTTTGCTTACGGTTTCACACATAGCATAAGAAATAAACCAGCATCTCCTGGTTTTTTTTCCTTTTTAATATTTTATTGAAACCTTTAAATCAGTCAGAGATATTTATATAGCAACATGAGATTTCTCATGGCCTATTAAAAGAATTTAATTTTCTAAATTATCTAAACTGTTGCATTTAAAAAAGCTATGGCTGTAGTCTTGTTCCATTGAAATCTATGGGAATTTGCTTTAATCAGTATCAGAAGAATTTGATACCTAGCGTGCGCATTCTAGCTTGTTAAATAGATGCAAGGGTACGGATTCCAGCAAGAGGTCTTCCAACAAACTCATTTGTGCAAACATTTCAACATGGTTTCATATTTTTTAAGGAGCTTGTTTTGCTTTTCCTTTCTACTACCCCGATGTAGTATCAGAATAACATAAACTCCGCAACAGCAGGTATAAACAAAACGTATTACTTGAAATTAAGTCTGTTGATAAGTCCACTTAGGTAAGATAAAATAAGTGGGCTCTATAAATGCCAAATTTTAATAATTCAACAAAACAGCTCTGTCCACCAAAAAATAATATTTTTAAAAAACTCCTTGAGGAAGGGACAGGGTTTTTTTTCAATTTTCCTTTTTCTTTAACAAGAGAAATAGACTTCAGTACAAAATTCTGGTAGTAGTGTTTTTATTACTTACGTTCATTGCATTATTTGAAGAAAACACCATTAAAAGCTTTTATTTCTAGGAAGCATTACTTGCTATCACAAGAACTCGTATTTAGTTTATTAAAATAACACTATTACATCCTCAAAGCTAGAGGAAGTTTCAGAATGTGTTTCTTGTTTCTTAAACAAGTTTTACATATATGAAACTTCATTGATGTTACTGGATTTGCAGTGGCATGTTTGCAGAAAAGTGTTTGCTATTTTTAGGCTTATTTGCTCTTAATGCAAGTATTTTAAGAAACTATGCATCTTGTTAACATTTTACCACTTTAGTTGTTAGCTAATCAGCACAACAGTTCATTTCCTTATAAATATTTAACATTAAAAAAAATCCCTTGGGCTCAAACACTTTTGACACTTGTATAATCTAAAACAAATCCTCCCACTTTTTAAATCAAACAGACCATGTTACACACACAGTTGGCTAACTATTTACAAAGCACCCAATTAAATCCTTCTTAATTCTCCCACTCTCTGAAAATCCCACCTCACTGGTGCATGAACTACTGATCACACAAAATGTGTAACTTTCTCATAGCTTGGACATTTCTTTACAGACTGTAAAACTTTATTGTAGAAAAGAGTGCTATAAAATGAACTCATTCATTTAGCAACATGTATATGAAAGTGAAGAAATTGTATCAATGTAGAGGACTGAAGAAATAAGCAGAAGAATCACAGTACAAAGACACGTAAATCTAGTTTAATGTTCACATGTAAAATTTACACATCACAGAGATTAAACAGGATTTTAACTGTAACATAGCTGCAATGAAATGAATGTAATTTTGTATTAGAAAAATAATCTTGATGCAGTTATCCAATTTTTGGTCTACTTATGTTCATTTTAAGATGGATTTACATCAGTGATCGTAATGATTTTGCTTGTGTGCTTTTCTACAATCCCATATTAATATTCTTTGGATGAAACAATAACTGTTCATTTGTTAATGGTTTGCCCTTTGGTTGCAAGCAGAGAACTGTTTTCACTTTACTGTAATATGCTAGAAGAATGAAAATTTATGACAATAAACCTTTTGGTGTTAAATGAAGTTCTACAGTAAGTTTCTTGATTTTGATGCAACAGCAGATTTTATAAAAGCTGATTAAAGATGTAAAGCATTGCCTTCAATATGAAAAAGTAGATAGAATTTGTTTTTCTAATTTCCGTAAAAAAACAGTCTTAACACTACTTGTATATAATGCACTAAAAACCCTTGTGCCTAATTGACAAAAGTGTAGTTTCAAAATGTATAATACAATTACCAACATTTTAATCTAGATTGAAGAAAACACATTTGTATGGACTCAGCACAAGTTTATTTGCAATTAGACATCTCATGCAATCATGCAGGACCACTAGCTATATAGCTGTAACTTCCAAGTCTAAAAAGACACTGGGCAAAAACCTTCACTGTCAAGATATTTTCATATTAGCAGCTCTGTATGCAAGCTGTAAATATTGTTCTAAAGAAATATTCCCACAGATTAAAAAAAACATACACACCTTTATAATATTTACAAAAAATATTTAATTAAAAATATTTTATAATTACAGTAGTCTATTAAAGCATATACTTTTCTCACTTACACTTATAGAACATCTCTATATATACACAGTATGAAATGTCACCCATTTATCTATACAATATGTAACATTCCTGCAGGGAGAAGAAAGTTCCCTGGGCCCCAATAAAATCATCTATTTTAAACAATAGATGTCAAATATATCTACAATGCTCTGGTAAATTAGTAAAGCTTCAAAATTCAGCTGCTCGGTCCCTTACAGTTATACTTCTAAAGTTTGATTTATCCAACAGAAGAGTCACACTTTTCTGCTTAAGTTTAAATCTCCTCCCGCCAAAATAAACATAAAATTCACATCTGATATAAAATGCACAGAAAAAAAACATGTTTAAAATGCTATGAACGTGCAAAACGGTGAAAGGTTCTCTCTCAGAAGGAAGCATGGAAGGACTCTGGGGTTGAATTATTTTTTCCTCTCATTTGATGGCTGATATTTCTTTTCCCCCTCCCTCTCTAATGTGTCTTTCTCTGCTCCTCTGGCTCTGGATCTGCCTGCTGCACACCTGTGGAAGAGGAATGAATAGAGGGGGTGTGTGAACCGTTTTTGCTCCAGACTGAGTGGCGCCACCAACAAAACACAAGACATGCTTGATCAACAACCCAAAACAAACCAGGTCAAACAACAACCAGAGCTCCCATGCTAGGCCAAACAGAGGAATACACAGCTGCAAGCCCCCGTTGTTGTAAGCTCTTGACACAGGGGGGGTAAATAATAATAAAATAGGTTCCCTGTGAACCTTGTTCACTCAGTCCAGACCCTATTTCTGTACTCCAGATGAGACAGAAAGGAAAGCCAGTCTCAATGCTAGGAAAAGAAGCTTCCTTTAGAAAAAAATGTAGGTGCACTCAGGTCAGAGGTGCTCTGGTGCTTCTTGAATAAATACATTATTCATGCATTTAATGAAGAAGAAATTAACTCCGAAGGAATGTGCAAGACTCTAACCCGGTTTAAAACAAGAGCTCAGCTGAAACATGTACAGTGCAAAGGGCACTGGTGTTAAAATACCACAGGTGGCAGAGATGCAGCCTTTTCTCTGATGCCCAATAATTAACTGAGACTCACCTTGACAGTGCAGTTCAGCGGCACAAAATACTGTCCCCCTGCTTGTTAACAGCGCCAGCCTGCACAACAAAAGACCAGGTTTGTTTTTAAAGGGTGTAAATAATTACCTCGGCCAAGATAACCGTGCTTGTGTCTCGAGCACACACACACGGACAGAGACCAACCTAGGT